GGGGAATTCTGGGAGTTGAAGTCCACACATCTTCAAGTCACCAAGGTTGAGGAACCCTGAACTAGTGGATATACCCTGTGAGACTCTAGGGAGGGGCTAGTCTAAACCTATTCTTCTTCCCACGGTCTTGCTGTGGGCTGAGAAAACGCTTCCCCTGTGCCCTCTCCTGGAATGTTCCCCCTCCCTCCTGAAAGCCTTGATCCTCCATGCCGGTATCCTCCTCGCCCATGCCTTCCATTACAACAGTGACTCACAGAACTGGGTGTTTTCCATGAAGTATGCATTTCGGCTTAAACGCAACCTTGAGATACGCAATTTGGTCTGGATTTCATGTAAAGCGTACTTCCATTATGCGTTTTGGTGCGGTATCATTGAGCCGGGATTGATATTGCAAAATTTGGAGAAGTAAGAAGCCCCCCAGTGACTCCAAGCTGATCTGAGTCTTGATCCTGGAAGTGGGAATCTGAATCAAGGTTTTTCAAAGGCGTTCTGCAGAACCTTGCGGTTCCCTGATCTTGATAGGTTTCCATGAGAGGCCAAGGGCCAAAACAGAAAATTCACTTCAGTGCAGCCAATTTTCTATCACAAGAGCTTTGTCTCTTGGTCACAGGTTCCACGTTTTTTTTTTTTTTTAGCTAACAGGTTCCACAGCTGAAAAAATGTGAAAATCCCTGATCTAATCTCTCTTTCTGGTTGCACTCCTCACATCTGCCTTGCAATTTCTCAAAAGTCTTCTTCCTCTGCAAAAGAGTTTTCTGTTTTTCCATTTTATTCTGAAGGGCCCTTGAGAATTCCTTTCCAATTTCTCTGGGTGATGATTTTGACTTTAACTCTGTTGCTGGAGCTGGCCGTGAAGGACACCCCCACCCCCATATGTTCCTCTGGAAAAGATACAGCCACATCTTTTCAACCCTCTGAAGTCCCCCAGCTGATAAAGCCCATGGGAGAAGTTCCCTTGGGCTTTGCTTTGAGAAGGGAAGTGTGGAAAGCAGGAGATGTGTTGAAAGGCAGGACCTTCAGACCCACACATATTCTGGGGCCAATTCATAATTAAATACATCCAAGAACACTGCACTATGCTATTAGCGTCTCACCAGAATTCTTTCCTCCTCTTGACTCTGAAAACAAATTCAGTGAAAAGTCCAAACCACGTGGTTTTCCATGACATTACCCTGGAGGAGCAACAGAATTCTCCTGGATGGAGATCAGAGAAGACAACCTGACCCTCAAAATGCTGGGAGATGCAATGAGTGCGGGTCACCTGCATCCTAGCAAATGACGCAGCCTGAATCTGCAAACTGCTGTGAACCTTTTCTGCCTCTTTCCCAGGGCTTGTAAAGCAGCTAGAGTTTTCCTCTCGTCCTTAAGAAGAACTCTGGTGCAGCGTGAAATCTAGGGCATAATTAAGCTAGGTACCTCCTGAGCCACCTTTGGGTTGCTAAGAAACCGCCTTGGTGGAAGCGGAGGTCTCCGGCCGGTCCTAAAAATAATGATCCGGTCAAACGGGAGCGCTGCGGTGGCTGAGCTAAGAAGAATGGCCTTTAATTTGGCCCACCGGGCAGAAGTCTTCAGTCGGCTTGGGCCGCTCCTCCTGACAAATGAGCTCCACCCGGGCTTGAAGGAGGAACAGGCTGCGCTGCCTGCGAGCTGGAAAGAGATGCGGTGTTTCTCTCGCCACGGAGCAAAGTGGAGGGCAGCTTCCGCGATTTAGCCTGTGCCGAACTGCCAGGCAGAGCGTCGCTCCAGCCGTCGGGAAAATCAGCGAAAAGGCGCTGCCCAGCACTCAAGCGCGTTAATCCGCACTGTTTGTGGTGTCGCGCCGCTTCGCATTGCCTTGCTAAGGGGGCTCAGATGGTGGCTCTGCCTGCGTAATTGAAGCTCCGCCCCGTTTTACATGGGCGATGCACGTGGAAAAGGGGGCAGGCTTCACACGTGCAGGTGGGGCCACCATGTTGATCTCTTGGACCCCTCTCCCTGGATGCCCCTGAGTGCGTTGTGTTGCTTTATTTTATTTTATTTCATTTTATATTATTTTATTTTATTTTATTTCTTTCCTT